AAAACATCTCCTGAGGACCAGTCGGAAAAGGAAGTCGATTGAGAAGATAATATTTGGTAATTTTTTAAGACAAGGCAGAATTGAGAAACTGATTTATTCCACCTATCAAACAGTGGAAATTGTAAACAAATCGAAAAATAGAATACAGCCCAGGGTTCATAAGTGCGATTGAGTGAATGAGATATTTGATTTAATTTGGTTTGATGGGTTTTCTGGTATATCAACTCTATGGTTCATTTAATACTAAATCCTGTTTAAACATATATATTATATATGAAGAAAAAATATACGGAAAAACAAACAAAAATCCTAATATGCAATTATACTGTTTTAATGTCAACGTCGGACGTTTCGGTCTAGTAGACAATCTTCAGGACATATTCATAAAACATAATTAATATTAGACTATATTTAATTCAACATGAAAAGACGATGGACATAAGAGTAAGACTAATCAAAACAGATAACTGAAATTTTTTTCAAGGTCAGCGTTCCGTTTCAATACGATCACGTCGGCGTCACGTGGGCGATGTTGTGAAAACGTATTCCTAAAATAGAGTATATTTTGAATGAAAAATGAAAAAGAATTTTATTTTAATCTAAAATTCATATGTACGTTTGTCGAGCATTAATCTTGCTAGAAAAAGGGAAATATTAAAGAAGCCGGGTCTAGTATTCACCGTGCGTGAGATAGATATTATGCCTGTCTCATAAATATGTCTAAGATTTTTATTATGAACGGGACGCCGTACTTCATACTGTCGGATCTATATCCATATATTTGCATATATATATATATATATATATATATATATATATATATATATATATGATTAATTTGGTATGGTTTGTTTTACAACATTTGAATATGACAAGATTTTTATTGCTGGTAACATATTTTTCAAAATGAATTGCCGACAAGAATTTTTATTGCTGGTAATACTTTTTTTCTTCAAAATTGTATTGCTGGTAATATTTTTTTCAAGAATGTATTGCTGATAATATTTTTTTACCAAAAATGTATTGCTGGTAATATTTTTTTACCAAAAATTTATTGATAGTATTAAAACCTATTTTTACACTTTCATAGTGTTTTGACCCCAGTTTGAGTTTGGGGGCCAACCACCTTGCCCATAGATGGGACCCCAACAGCTGCTACTAACCCGGGTCAGGGTGGACCTGGGAACACCAGCAATTTAGAGTTGGTTCCACGTTCCTCAAAATCAGAGGCCCAGCTGTTGGATGTTATTTATCGTCCTACCCAGGATGCGGATGTTGTTCATCTTCGAACGAGATATAGAAACCAAATACTTACTAATAGCTGCCGGAGAAAACAGCTGTTAAATTTCTGATTATAAAGACAAGACCCCAAACTGGGGAAAATATGCTGACGAAAATTAAAGCGATTATTACAATTAATAACCAGAAGTTAAACCATGCCACGGGGTTTAAAAAACGGATTTGTCAAAATGACAACCGAGGTGAAAGTCTTACAGGAAATACCAAGAGAAACAGAGGAATTACCTACGCCCATTCGGAAGTAATGGTGCGAGGCATAAATATTGGATATATGGGCGGGTACCTGCAACCACAGCCCATAGAAAAAGAGATCTCCCAAATTTGGAGAGATAATTAATTTTCCGAAGCCAGACAACAAAGAAACCAGAGTTCTCAAACACGTCAGCCCCCAGTCAGTCTTGGTTAAGAGTCAATATAAACAGAACACTGAAGCGACATAATCAGTTGCAGTTGGAGATGCAGACGACGAAGGCCACGTGACTTGCTGTCAAAGAGAACTCCCTATTTAAGTCTTGTTCCCGACTTAGCTAATATGAGCAAAGTGTTACGATAGAATTCAAAGTGGGAAGGGTTAATATTTCTGTACAAAGAACGATATTAACCACATAGAAAACTAATCCGTTTAATCCTCTGAGTGACTTTATCAAGGCAAATCCAAGGATTTCATTTTGGTGACAAGTATTTATATACAAGAACAAAAATCTTATTAGTTTTTTAAAATGTTTGGTATGGGGCGCTCATGAATATTGATCAGGTTAGGTATAAAGTCAGGTAAGTTCATGGACGTGAGGTGATACAATTCCTAATGAAAGTAAGTACGAGATTATATATATATATATATATATATATGTGTGTGTGTGTGTGTGCGCGCGCGTGTGTGTGTGTTTTGTGTGTATATGTGCTTGTAAATTAGTATTTAAATTATTTTGTCCTTTTTTAGACACACACGTGCACACACACGCGTGCACACACAAACACACACACACACACACACACACACACACATATATATATATATATATATATATATATATATAGCCATAACTGTAATGGAAATTTAAATTTACGTTTTATACTATAATTTCTAAGGACTTAACAGCTTTTATTTATAATCGGACATTATTACTTTTTACTTCAAATGTTACATTTTAGTGGACACACGTATTTGGGTAGACATTCCCGTTTTTCTTAAACTGTCAATTTACATCTACCGGCCTGTGCATTTGAGTGCCTCAAAAAAGAAAATGAGCCTTCCGATAGGGTTTGAATTTGTATCCCCCTTGTAGGGGAAACCATCGTTAAGGCCGGTATGCTTTTAAAATAAAAATGATGATGGGTGAAATCAGATGTTATGAGGCGTGACAGGTTAAATCAAATGTGAAATGTTGGGGAATAAATCAGATTTGCAACATTCCTTACTCTGGGTTTTTATCTGATCTTCTAACAAAATTAATATTTTAGATTTATTATCTGACTGTAAGCATCGCCTGTTGTTTGGATTTTTTTACACATTTTTTCTACTTATTTTCTGGAATAAGGCCAACAGATTTTTTTTCCGTGTACTAAACTTATATAAATATTTTAGAAGCTAATGTTTAATATTGTCAAATATTTTTGTCGTAAATTCTCAAGAACAAAAAAAGAATGTTAAATTCAATTTCCTCCTATGTTTAGGTTTTATTACAATTCTAATCGTCGCTTTTGTAAAGCAATAAAATTACAGTGGCGTGAAGGTAGTTAAAATAATAGCCGTGTCAATGGGAAAAAAATGTCCTTTAGACACACCGTTCTTTTGCGGTTAAAGATTGCAAAAAATTTCTATAAAAGAATCAGATGATTTTCTACTAACGGCTCGCTTTACAAGGATTTTGATTTAGCTTAAATGCCGACGAACAATCTCAGACAACCTCAAACAAAGAATTGGTTTCATAGGAGGATTAATAAGAACCTGAATTAGAAAACCGTTTTTATTCTGAATCTCAGAATTTGATATAACTTTCGGAAAATTCCAAATAACAAGTGGAGTGTTTCTCATCTAGTTTGGTGAAAATTAAATTGGCTAGTCACGTCTGATAGCTAAATTTTTCATACATAAAACAACTGTTTATTCACTACTGGGACCCATCAAATTAGATCTGGTATGTCCAATTTTGGGTGCGTTTTGTTGATTGTTATCATAATTCGGTCCAATTCAGGAATGCTTCTTATCGAGTGCTGCTTTTAATCGGTCCAATTCGGGAATGCTTTTCTTAATTGCTGCTTTTAATCGGTCCAATTTGGAAATGCTTCTTAATAATTGCTGCTTTTAATCGGTCCAATTTGAGAACGCTTTTTATCAATTGCAGCAGTTGCAACCTAATCAGCATCTATTTTAAGTTTAAGGCTTTAAAATTTCAACAGCAAATTGTCCTACAATTGCCTATGGGTAAAATCGTTGGTTTGTAAATTTTATGACATAGCGGTTTTGAGATCAACCCGTGGGTTGAGAAGTGTTTACTGAATAAAATAATAACTGGACGGTAACCTGAGACATGAACAGTGGACCGAGAACAGTCTACCCACATAGCTTAAATAAAAGATACAGTTCAGAAGTCGCTGTAGGTTGTTGGATGTTATGGTTGAACCATATTATGTTTCCCTTCCTGATGGCTTTTTGGTGGTGTGTATGAGAGTGTTGCCACGAATCCACTATCTTTTAGGGCGGTTTCATAGTCTTTCTTTGCTTATTTCACCGGAAGAATTGTCGAAAGGCCTGCGGTTAATTGATTGTGGTATCTGCTTGATTATTGATGCCGTGTGAGTGGAAGACGTGTGTATTACAGTGGTTTATCATTGATTTTTTTCTGTATGTATCTGTCTAGATTTCTGAGATGAGGTATTATGTACACTATTTACATTATTCAGACTATTGTCCTCATCTTTGTCGCCATATCTATTACAACGTTTCGGCTGTTGTACGCTCCAGCCTTCTTCAGGTGGTTGGAATGTCGAACTGAACCCTTTATTTCGTTCTAATTTCATATGCCATGTCCAATGGATGTCAGTTATCAGTTATCTCCTATTCTCCAAGTTCTCCACCGCCTTAACCAAGTATTGAACTCACACTCTGTGGGTCCTGTTAGCAACATCAGCACGGCAAATGGCACTCATTTAAAGGCAAGGAAGGGCAAAAATATTTTAAGTCAAATGACATACGATTGCTGTATGAGTTGTACGATTTTTGAATCAAGCACGGGCAACGCCGGGCCATGCTGCTAGTTTAGTAATAATGTGCTTGTCTATATACAATTTGTAAAGCTTCAGTAAATTATAAATTTTATAAGGCTGTGCTGCTATAAAGCTTTCACTGATCAAAGGAATAAAATTCCAACGCTACAATTTTGAACCTAAACTTAATCTTAAACCTGTTTCCTAAAAAAAAAAAAAAAAAAAAAAGATAATGCTTTGGAAAAAATAATTTGTGTATTATTTATCATGTCAAACCCCAACTTTCAAACTAAGTGCAGTACCACGGTTTCAAAATCGACCTCTGACCTAATGATGAATTTTCGAACTTACAGAAATCACTGAGAGCGATACAAAGAATGGTAAGTTTTGAAGTTTGTAGTGATGTAAATGGACAACTGTTAAAAGAATAGTTATTCTCTCTCTTGAGAAGAAGAAGAATTTGTTTTGGAAAAGCTCATTCACATATTCCAGGTTTACGGCCATATCCCGTTAAAACACCGGTTTTCGTACGATCACCGAAGTTAAGCAATATCATGCCTGGTCTGTACCTAGATAGGTGACAGCTTAGGAATACCAATTGCTGTAAATTTGGATGTGCATGTGGTGTAATTTTTTTTTAATTAAGACGCAAGGGGGGGGGTACTCGGTGTGAAAGAGAATGAAAAGATTTTGAAAGGAACCGGAAACGCAATCCCAAACAGGAAACAAGGTATAAATCTCTACTCCTGTTCAAAAGACCGTGAGGCTGGTGTAAGAGATAACGGCATGGAATTGGAAATCAGAGTTCCAATTCCACTAAGGTTAGTTATATTCACTTACGCACAAATATCTTTGGTGGGGAGGTATGAATCCATTTATTCTCCCCCAGCTATAGGTTAATTAGTAGGACTTGTATCAGTAAAACATTATTATCTTTAAAAATAAAATCTTTGAATCTGAAAATATTTTCTAGCTTTAAATGACTTGAAAAAGATTGATAAGTCGTAAAAAATCCAAATCACATATTTTCGTTAGATACAATTGATCATTGTATCTAACGAGAATATGTGATTGATGTTATGTTATATGTTGTTATTTTTTATTTTATTTTATTTTTATTTTATATATATATATATATATATATATATTTTTTGTTAATTTGTCATTGTGATATAATTTCTGTTCGTTCTGTCGGATTCCACTATTTGACAAAATAATTAACTAATACGAGTTATCTCCCCTAACACGGACATCAGAATCAGAACTTTCGCCTCCGTATAAATTGGGTTCAGTTCGAAGTTCCCAAAACGCAATCGAAGACGACAGACACCAGAATCAAAGTGGTTATAATCACCAAGATAGCGACAAGAGTTCGAACCTAACAGCATTTACTCATCCTACATTCATCATCTAAGAAAATCTGACAGAAAGGACGATGACGTAAAACTGTAAAAACTTAATCGGTTACAATTTTTTTTGTTTGTTTATGTTATCCAGTAGAAAAACTAGAGATACTAGTTTCTATGCATATCTTACCTGAGTTTTTTTCTTCTTGTTGTGGGTAAAGGAGAGACGAAGAAAGACAATTACGCATTTTATTTTCTCTGACCTTACAAGTTAATGACAAATTCCTCACCTAATATTCTTGACGTATTTTGCTAGAAGGACGTCATTCCAAGAATACATTCATATTCCAGAATATACTTCATACAATTCCGTGCCAAAATATGGGCCAAGCGATATTTTATTTTTAAATCTAAACATTACAGACAGCTTTAATTACATTAGTAGAATTCTAAAGACGATGGAGGACATCATTTTCGTATTTAAACATTTTAGGGTGACAGTTGAGACTAGGTTTAGATTTGGATTGTTGTGTGGAGTAGAGTTAGGGCTAGAGTTAATTGTTAGAGGTTGGCTGCGATGCCAGATCTGGACCAATAACAATTGCAGATATTTTGTACTTTATCAAGAATCTCTAAATACATAGCAAATCGGATGTAACAGCAATATTCAATGCATGGACAAATGGTAAAACGTCCTGGGTATGACAATAAACTACATCCGGCAGCAAAACATCTGATCGGGAGAACAACCTGTTACTTGATATTGTTCTCTGCTCCAGCCTGAAGTGTGGGTAGCAGCTGTTAGATATGGGCAAACTGGGGTCAAAAGACTATGAAAGTATTAGATAAATACATTTTCACAGCAAAAAATTACCAGCAATACATTTTTTGTAAAATAAGAAAAATTTTACCAGCAATGGAAAGTAGCCACAAAAAGAAACAGATACACAACTGTAAAGAAAGAAAGAATGATAGAAAGATAGATAGAGAGAGGGGGGATAGAAAGAGAGAGAGAGAGGAGATAAATATATCATCATACATACACACACACACACACACACACACACACACACACACACACACATATATATATATATATATATATATATAATATATAATTATTTATTTAAAAATATGATCTACTTTTGTATCGAGCACTATTTTTTAAAAATAATAGCAAAAATACTAAAGAACTTTGGATTATTTACCTAACGAGTTCTTTCTTATTTTCTATATATTTTTACACACACACACACACACACACACACACACACACACACACACATATATATATATATATATATATATATATATATATATAAATAAAAATAAAAATATATATATATATATATATTTTAAAAAAAAATAAAAAAAAAAATTACCAACAATACATTTTTAAAAAAAAAAACAATAATTTTTAAAAAAAAAAATGAAATTACTAATGCTCCCAAGAAAATTATATTTCGGCATTATGAAATTGATATGCCTCTTAAACAAAAAGGCAGACTTATAAATGGGTAAGAGATTCTGGAAAAACAAAAACTGTTTTTAACGACACAGTGAACCAACTTTTCTAGGAGCAGACCTAGCAATTGATTCAATAAAGTCTTTCCACTTTAGGTCAACGGTAAACGTTAGCACGAGACGTCGCAAGAGACCAAAAGGCACTGGAACGCAACATGAGGATCAAGGTTGGGAAAGGTTCAGTGCTACCAGTTACACCGTCTTTCCAAGATATATTTGGGCGGTGCGAAATTCAGAGATTCCGCTAACAGAACTCTTTGTAATTGCGTTTATATTACTCGCAAAATATAAACTGAGGAACTTTGATTGGCAACTTTTGAATTCAGCAAGGAAAACTCTCAAGAAATTTATGACTTGCCCGATACACGCCGTTCAGGTGTATTTATGAGTCTGGCTATTCGTGTCAAAGGCTATTAGCCAAAATTGGCGCCATCAACATTTGAGACAGAAATATTTTGTGCGAACACGCCCGCCAATTTGGCAAGAAAAAATACTTTTACTTTTTCTCTTGACAATTACTTCCTTTCGTTAGATTTTCAAAAAAAATTGTGATTGCTTCTGCCATAATAATTATTACATTATATATATATATATATATATATATATATATATATATATATATACAGTGTAACCCGGATATAAGAGACCGGGATATAAGAGAAACCCGGATATAAGAGAAACCCGGATATAAGAGAGATTTTCTCTGGTCCCAAATTAGAGCCTGTGTTACCTAAACAAAATAGACCAAACCCGGATATAAGAGAAACCCGGATATAAGAGACTTCTTCTCCGGTCCCGATAACTCTCTTATATTCGGGTTACACTATATATATATATATATATATATGTGTGTGTGTGTGTGTAATTTAAATAAAAACAGACCACTTTAAGGTTCCATGTAATAAATTATTTCACCACAGCCCTTTTAAAGGACTGCGGATCATCAGACTTTACTTCCAAACAAAAAATGAAATATATATATATATATATGCATGTTTCATTAAAAACGACAGACAAGCTACTACGGTTAAGCTTTTTATTTAATTTTTTTTGTGTTCTAACAAGAACTTTCTTTTCTGGACAAAGTGTGTATAAGAACTGTCCAAATGTTTTATATTTCCGAGTGCTTTCGGCTATACCTTTAGCCATTATCAAGAATGATTCGATTTTCAGCTTAATTGAGTGTGTGCGGTCTGTGTATGTCTTAATGTGTGGTAGGGATGTTTTTAATTTCCGAATACGGTTAGCACATTGTGGCCTTGTTCGTAGTTAATATTGTTAAGAGTTGGCTTTTTCTTTTTTATTATTAAAGCTTCCATTATTTTTAGTCTTTTTTTCAGGTGGATGCAATTAATATATTTGTGTTTTCTACTAGCATGTTCCTAATGGAATCGGGTAAATCTGTGTGTGTGTGTTTAAATGGGTTCTAATGGTGCTGTGATCAGATAGGTGTAACGTAAGACGTCTGGATCACAGAATGTGTTGCTCAATTAGCAATATTAATGCAATTAATGGCGAAATCTCTTCGCTAACAGACTTAATATAAGCATTAAACTACTAACAATCCACTGAATGATGCGATCCTTATGTATAAAATTGTTGTCAGATGCATCTGGCGTATTTTTTTAGAGCAGCAAGTACTTTCAAGGACTTCATGTCCTCATCATCAGGCTGTAATTTTTTTCCTTTAAAATCAAAACTTGAAGACGGAATAAATGTGTTGTAGACCGAAAGATGTTTTTTTTTTAAGAATGTGTTATTTATTAACGGTTATATAATATTGGAAAGTGCAAGTCGCAACGCTAAAGTTCAAATATTTCGTACTGCGGATCAACATTGGTGGAATTGAGTCATGACTGCCAGACAATTTCCGGGCACATTTGAGAGAGAGACCAACAAAACTTCTTGTGCCACCAAAGATGAACGGGAAGCAAGGATTATGACAGCATTCCCCAACTTAAACAGGGATGACCATCCAGAAGAGTTGCAGGAGATTCCAAAGTTGTCTACAGGCTGGGATTGAAGCCAATGGCAATTTTATTGAATAAATTTATTCTTTTGTACTTCAAGATATTTTTGTGTAATTTTGGTAAATATATCTGTTAAAATGAGATGTCACTGTTATTTTCGACAGTAATTTATCCATCGCACACGCTCTTTCTCTCTCTCTCTCTCTCTCTCTCTCTCTATATATATATATATATATATATATATATATATATATATAAATCTTCATTCAAAGATGGAATACCCCGACTAAGAATGAATGTCTGTCGAGGACAGATTTGTAATCCTGATATTTAAGTATGCTTAATATTCTATATATGAACTCTGTCGTATAAAAAGCACAGGCAATACTTTTTGACCGAGCCTCGTAGTGGCATGGAGAAGGAAGGAGTCTATTTTGAGAACTAGATTTGGAATCATGAGGTTAGTGCGTCCATTTTAGCGTAAATTGTAGGCTTCTATTATGAATTCTGTTGTATTTAAAGAAAACAGGAATAACTTTTAGACAGAATGATATATATTTCTATTTTAATCTATTCTGTCTCTCACTTTATCTATCTATTATCTATCTATCTATCTATCTATCTCTCTCTCTCTCTCTCTATATATATATATATATATATATATATATATATATATATATATATATATATACCTTCCTTCAAAGGTGAAATATCCCGGTTGAGAAGGGAAGAGACTATTTGAGGACTAGATTTGGAATCTCAAGAC